AACCAGGAAAACGTTCCTAAGCGGGTCAACACCCTGGTGGCGAGTTCATAGAACTACCCGGTGCGAAAGCCCCTAGCGTGTCACTGACCCAGTACAGAACATCGGTCCAGCCCTGAGTGGTGATGCACTGGTAAACAGTGAGCATGGAGAAGCCAAGATTGTCAAAGTGTGTGATGCCGTCATTGGGCCCGGGCCATCCGTCACGGCACTCGGTTCCGTTAAGAGGGCAACGCCTGCCGTTACCAGCCTGAGCGCACGGAGCTGCATACCCGCCGTCCCCCGTGGCAATGATATCTGGACACAACAGATCTCAGATCATGAATAAAATGTGCATTTATTGAAGGAAACACCAGGGCTGGCAAAAGGATAACATGCCCTACTTTTTTTTGCAAGTTTACTACATCTAACTTGCGTAATTTCTTACCTGTGCCAGTGTGGTAACATGTTTTATGCATTTTGCATTTGAAAAGCTCCAGGCCAATGATTGCATAGATGGTGACCATGAAGAAGACCAGCAGAGAGATGTGGAACAGGGGCAGCATGGACTTGAGAATGGAGCTCATCACCACCTGCAGGCCTGGAGGAGACATTACACTAACCACCCAATTCACAAAATTAGAAAGGTGAGCAGAAGGTGGTGTTGTCACTTACTGGGGACCCCAGAGACGAGCCTCAGGGGCCGAAGGACCCTAAACGCTCGGAGGGCTTTCATGTCGAAACCACCTTTCTGTTCCACTGGCGCCTCGACGCCGCTGATGTTGTTGATGAAGTCCACTACGACTGTGAACAACCTGAGAGATGTCACACAGTAGGTGTTTGTGTACTTTGGGTGTTTCTGGACATATTCAGGTGGTGGTTTGTGTATGTGTGTGTGTGTGTGTGTGTGTGTGTACATGTGTCTCTATCCCAGTGGGGATTTAAACCACTGTGGGCCTAAATTGAGGTACACACTAGGTTTAGGGGTAGGGTTAGTGTAAATGGACAGAATATACAGTTTGGACAGTATAAAATATGTCCATGGAGAGACCCAATTTAGATAGTGAACAAGACGTGTGTGTGTGTCTTACCCCATTGTCACAATGACAAAATCTAATATATTCCAGCAGTTCCGTAAATAAGCATCGGCATGAAAGAGTAATCCATACGCCACGATCTTCAGGAAGCATTCCATAGTGAATATGATGAGAAAAATGTACTCAAGACTCTCCTGTGAATGTACACAGAACATTGAGATGAATGGAGCTGTCAACACACTTCAGCACAAACAACTGACTCAAGGTGTTTGGTGTCAGTGGTTGCTTTTCCACTTCATAACTCTTTTGTTTTGGCTTTGAATATCTGTCATGGCATGTCTTTTTATATTCTTGCAACTTACACGCGTTGTGTTTGGTGCAAACGTGGCAAAGAATTGCTAGAGCCTGACACTCTCCTCCGGTTTCAGTCGAGGCATTTTGAAAACGAACGACCCAGACACGGAGAATTTTACGATGAACATGGCACCTACTGTGAGCGTGTTTCCACTGACATTTAGATGGATAGATCTTCCAAATGCTTTGATGTCGACCTGATTGCAAAGAAACAATCTGAATAATTGTATTACAAAGCACAAAGTCTTTCAGATAACACTGCAGTGATGAGAGAGCTCTGCGAGTGTGTGAGAGCATGTAGTTTGACAGAGTTTGTGTCTAATTTTAAAACGTCCACACATGCAGGCAAAGCGTCCCATCGGCATGCGGTCAAAGCACCTGCTTCTTTCAGTCACCTGAGTCAAGGTCACGCACGCTTACAAGGGTTTAGTGGGATGAATATCTGGCATTGGGTGTCAGCCATTCTATCAGAAGATAGATTTGAACTAGCCACTTGTTCATTTAGGATGTAGGTCAATCTTTAATAAGAACAGAATACAATATATACTGTACGTATGGAAACATTTAAATCGGCCTATTTTATGTTATTAAATGGTTTTTAGGTCTGTAAGGGGTTGGAGTATATAAGTGTCAGTGAAGTCTTGGGTTGAGGTGTGTCTTAAGGTGGAGTCTACAGGTATTGAGGAGGGGTTTATATGTAGAGGTGTGTGTGAGGGCGGAGTCTATAGGTTGTCTCAGGTGTCTTAAGGTGGAGTCTTCAGGTATTAGGGGAGGGGTTTATATGTAGAGCAGTGTATGAGGGCGGGGTCTATAGGTTCTCTCAGGTGTCTTAAGGCGGAGTCTACAGGTATTGGGGAGGGGTTTATATGTAGAGGTGTGTATGAGGGCGGAGTCTATAGGTTGTCTCAGGTGTCTTAAGGTGGAGTCTTCAGGTATTAGGGGAGGGGTTTATATGTAGAGCAGTGTATGAGGGCGGGGTCTATAGGTTCTCTCAGGTGTCTTAAGGCGGAGTCTACAGGTATTGGGGAGGGGTTTATATGTAGAGGTGTGTATGAGGGCGGAGTCTATAGGTTGTCTCAGGTGTCTTAAGGTGGAGTCTACAGGTATTGGGGAGGGGTTTATATGTAGAGGTGTGTATGAGGGCGGAGTCTATAGGTTGTCTCAGGTGTCTTAAGGTGGAGTCTTCAGGTATTGGGGAGGGGTTTATATGTAGAGGTGTGTATGAGGGCGGAGTCTATAGGTTGTCTCAGGTGTCTTAAGGTGGAGTTTACAGGTATTGAGGAGGGGTTTATATGTAGAGGTGTGTATGAGGGCGGAGTCTATAGGTTGTCTCAGGTGTCTTAAGGTGGAGTCTACAGGTATTGGGGAGGGGTTTATATGTAGAGCAGTGTATGAGGGCGTTGTCTATAGGTTGTCTCAGGTGTCTTAAGGCGGAGTCTACAGGTATTGGGGAGGGGTTTATATGTAGAGGTGTGTATGAGGGCGGAGTCTATAGGTTGTCTCAGGTGTCTTAAGGTGGAGTCTACAGGTATTGGGGAGGGGTTTATATGTAGAGGTGTGTATGAGGGCGGAGTCTATAGGTTGTCTCAGGTGTCTTAAGGTGGAGTCTTCAGGTATTGGGGAGGGGTTTATATGTAGAGGTGTGTATGAGGGCGGAGTCTATAGGTTGTCTCAGGTGTCTTAAGGTGGAGTTTACAGGTATTGAGGAGGGGTTTATATGTAGAGGTGTGTATGAGGGCGGAGTCTATAGGTTGTCTCAGGTGTCTTAAGGTGGAGTCTACAGGTATTGGGGAGGGGTTTATATGTAGAGCAGTGTATGAGGGCGTTGTCTATAGGTTGTCTCAGGTGTCTTAAGGCGGAGTCTTCAATTATTGGGGAGGGGTTTATATGTAGAGGTGTGTGAGGGCGGAGTCTATAGGTTGTCTCAGGTGTCTTAAGGTGGAGTCTACAGGTATTGGGGAGGGGTTTATATGTAGAGCAGTCTATGAGGGCGGAGTCTATAGGTTGTCTCAGGTGTCTTAAAGTGGAGTCACAGTTTGATCATGGTTGGAGCTTAACTCTGCAGGGACAGTGGCCCTCCAGGACCGAGTTTGGGGAATCCTGGTCGAAGCGATTGTGGTGTTCTTTTCTTCGGTGTAATAACGAACATAGCAGTCATGATTTGATGTCCTTAAACCCGAACCGCTGAAGACATTGGTTGAGTTTGGTTTTCGAAGGAAATATTCCCCACGAGCAACATCAATGCTTTCATGTTTGCGCGATTCGCAAATCTTTTCTCACCAGACTGAAGAGAGTGTAAAGCTCTCGTTTTATATGTACTGTATTAAGATGGAGTGTGTTCGAGTGTGAGAGAGAGACTCACTAGGTTGCTGTTGGTGTTATTCGTATCTTCCTCAGGCATTGGCATGAAAACGGCCAGCGCTACACAGTTTGCAAAGATGGTGAGGAGGATGATGATTTCAAACGGTCTGAGAGACACGTTCAGGAAAATAAACCAGCTTCTCTGAAAGTGAGAAATATTGTCCTCCAGTGATACACATTATAATAATGTGTGTTGTAGCACAGTGATCTACATGGCGTCTCAGTGTGTTGTTGTGTGTGTGCTAGCATTCCCTGAGCTTAGCATGTCTGTATTTAGTGTGCTGGTGGACAGAACAGCTGTTCCCTCAGAATATCAGAGCGCTGTGCTGAAACACTGACATTTACACTCATGACTAAATCAGCTCATTAACGGTCTGTCACTGCTCCAGATTTGCCGCCTCTAGTAATGAATGACTTTTATGTATGCTTTGCTTGTTTATTCCTATGCAGCCATGAGATAAAACGGAGAGTAAATTAAGGTTTGTTTAGTATATTACAAGATGTCAGCAAATAGTCTAATTAAGTTGATGTTGAACTGAAACATAACTGAGAACTTCTTTAAGACCGGTGATCTATGAAAGACATTTCGAGGGCTTGGAGTCAGAGGGGTGTAAGTGGCTTTTAACAAACTTTACAGGAGTAAATTTTGACCACACTTAAATATATAACAGTATCAGTACTTCAGTATATTAACCTTAAACCACAAACATTGCAACCACAGGCATACTTGCATGAATGAGTATTTAAGTAAAAAATGTATGGCATATGAACATGTTCTAAGACATTTTCAAGTAATAAAATGTCGAATACGTCAGATACACCTTTTTGTTGATTTATTCAATACAGTTTGGTCTCAGATATGTATTTTGGCACCATTGGTTAGAGCTCATCGAGACCTTTATTTTGATTATAAAGAACGCATATTCTCCCAAAATGCCACTTACGCCCCTCTGGCTCCGAGCCCTTGATTTGTAATTTTGTTATATAATTCATTTTTAAACATTTTTTGCTGCTTAATATTTTTGTTAAAACTGACAAACTACCATTAAAATGTTTTGGGAATTCAGAGAGTACACATTTAGTTGATCAAAAGTGACAGTAAAGACAGTTATAGTGTTGCATGTGAAATATTCTGTTCCAAATAAATGCTTTCTATGCATCAAAGTTTACTTTTGGAAAATTACTTTTACGACATGCATTAAGTTAACTGATATGTTTAGTGACTATGCAAAAATGTTATTGTAATTAAAATCACTTTTTGATTTGTTCAAGGATACTTCCACTCTACAATGTTGATGCAGGCCTTGCGGAAGGGGTTCTTCAGCGTGAGGAAGAGGAGGGATCGAGCGGGCCGGGGGTTTCCACCTGTGGCCTGGAGCTTCTTGAGTTTCTCTCTCTGCTTCCTCTTCAGCGTCTCCTCATCCATGATGAAGGAGGTCATGGGTGCTTCGCCTCCGCCCTCCATGATCCGATCAGAACCGAGCTGGAGGCGCAGGACTTCTGGAGATCAGGTACTCGGCTCAATACTTCAGTATCTTCTCGGGACTCGAAAATTAGAAAGTGAAGGTGTCCCCACCATCCGCTGTCTGTCTGAATATATTTCTCTCACTGTCTCTCTCTGTTCTTGTTCGGTTAGTCCTGCAGCTGTCTGACTTAAAAAATAAATATAGACAATACGTGTCACTCACGTGTGTGTGTGTGTGTGTGTGTGTGTGTTAGGAGACAACGGAGCATGACACAGTTATGGTCACAGAGTTATAGATTAAGAGGCAGGACATAAACAGTCATAACTTTGGAATGTTCCCATTGGCCTTTTCTGTTTGGGCTTTGTGACATCACTGAGCCGGTAAACCAATCAGCACACAGATAATTCACTGTGAAATTTGGTGTCACAGTTTTCTATGATCGTCCCAATGATTATTGTGTCTCGGCAGTGCAAACGGGTGAATCTCATGGCAACTGTCAAAACGTCATATTTCATAATTATTATTGCATTATATTTATAAATGGTTAATTAATTAATTATATATATATATATATATAAACATTCAAAATATAGATATTAATATTCATGTATAAATCAACGAAAAATTATATTTAAATTATATAACTCTTTGAAGTTTTTAAGATCCCAGTGTCATACATGTGTCAATGAACAGACATAAAACTCCAACAACAAAACCTGTACAAACAAGTAAAAACAATCTCATTCCAAGTATAATTTAAGGTTTATTTGAATTTAGGTTAAATGTAAAATCCCAGTATACATGATCACAGAGCGAGTTCAAGGTCAGGAACTGGCCGTCGTGTTGATTTCAAGGCTTTTTTTGGGCGCCGTGACCCCTGTGCCCTCATGTCCCAGTCTGCAAAACACACTCTCAGTGGGAGACTTCACACACGCTACCACCAAAACATTTAACTCATGTAATGTTAATTGGGAAGGTGAGAGATGAGACCATGTTGATGACCTGAGTCTGTGGTGGAGTGGTGAGTTTGATGTGCGGACTGGGTCGATTCCTTTCCTAGAGCGCCTCCTGTCTGTTTTTAGGGGAAATCGGATCTATTGGAGACATCGAATAGATTATTTAGGCCGAAAGAACACCACAGACTCAGTGTTATCAACAGTAAATCTCACAGTAAAACACGCAGCTGTGAAAAATATGATACACTGGTGTTTTGCCAGATGAAAAGTTTATCTATTTATCATCGTTTTACTCTTTTAAATTAAAATTATTAAATCTCTTTTAATTCCTTTTTTCAACTTTTTAAATTTTTAAATTATTTTAATTCCTTTCTGTGTAAAGGAAGTTTTGTATCTTAAAGTCACAACAACAGGCGTGTCTCACGTCACTCAGAGTTCCTACAGGCGCTGCGAACCACATCAGTTCTCGGGTCAACACCCTGGTGGCCCGTTCCTAGAACTACCCGGTGCGAAAGCCCCTATTCAAACATGCTAATATTTGTGAATCACTCAGAATCAAAGTTGGTGCATGATAAAAGTCGCTAGGATATGATGTTTTCTGAACGTCTTTAACTCCCAACAGAGTCCTCGGAAGACGATTCAGAGATGGAAAGGGGCGACGCCGTTGCGTTCTCCTCTGCGCTGCCCGCATTCTCCACCAGTTCCTGTAGGTATTTGATGTAGCGGATGGCCGCGCGCAGCGTCTCCACTTTGCTCAGCCGTTTGTCCGTGGTTGCGTTGGGCAGGTGGTCGCGTAGCTTGGCGTATCCCTGGTTCACGCACTTCACTCGCTGGCGTTCCCGCTCGTTGCGTTTCTGGATGAAGGCGGGCTCAAATGGGCATTCGTAGACGCCAAAGCTGCCCTGGAACGGCGGGAGATACGACAGTAGAGACGCGCCGCCACAGTACGAGCCATCGTAAACTCGCTGCTCAACGTGAGTCGGGTACAAGAACAGCGGTAGCGAGCGACCTAGCGGATCTGAGTGGACGTCATTCCCTCTGTAACCACCAGAGGGCGCGCAATACCGACTGCTCCTGCTCAAACGGTAATGAGACGCGTCCATTTTGAGGTGTGGAGTTGCTATTGGTGTCGTTCGTACATAAATGAAAGCCAAGCCCGAGGAAGTTCGTCTAAGACTGACGGATTAGCGTGCGCTTCCTGAAGCGAGGGAGCATCATCCTCTTCCCCGGTCTCAATGATAGACGCTCGGAAAACGGCTTCTGCTGCTCTTTGAAAGCCCTGTGAAGGATTTTGAGAGAGACAGACTTGAGTTTAGACCAGAGGACTTCAAACACACTCCAGATTAACTT